GCTTCAAATTGCTAAACTTCAAACACTCAGATCTTTATACTCCACAAACACCGATCCGCACAGAACTCTCACCCAGCAGAAAATTGTTCCTTACAGCCCCGGACTGAGAAGGAGATTAAACCCAGATTAAAGATAAGAAGAACAAACCCTAGAAAAGATCTTTTGATTTTCTTGAAAACACAGTAAAACCCACTTAAAACTTCATATTCTCTTTTATCAATCTTGTTTTATCCAAAAAGCCCACTAAATCCCAAGATCAAACACTCTTACCGAAAGAGAGAGTCCTAAACCCAATATAGGGAAACTTGCCGAATTAAAGCATACACTTCACACTTGTGCTTCCTCTCCAACAATATCAAATGTACGTTTCTGGATAAATGAAAATTAATTCGATGTTACACACGTCAATTAAAAAAGAACATGCTTGACCCTTTTTTGTAGCATAAAAGCTCTTGTCACGTGATCTAACACCTAAAAGGTTTGAGAGTATTTTGGACAATTTTCAGAGTTTCATTGTGTTGACTGTTGCTATTTTTCTGAATTGACCACAAAAAATGCTATACATTTAATTCTCACCCATAAAAGTAAGATTCACCTAATTTACCCAAAAAATATGTTAATAACTTTGTATTACAAATTTTGCTTATGTAATAGTAACGTGCATATATATTTTGACTAACGTAATTTATAAAAGTTTCTATACTATTAAGTCATTAACTAAAGAGTATTTTAGAAAAAATAGCTTTAAAATGGGTAGATACTGCAAAGAACACCATTAGATAAAAGGAAAATGACTAAAAAAACCTTACCTAATTTAATTTGTTCATATAATACGAAATTGTTTTATTCTTCTAAAACAAAACAAAAAAGGGAAATAGATACCAAATTTTTTAAAAAGTGTTCGTTTAAAATCTCATATGTTCTTTTTCTCAAATGCAAATTTGTATTCCATTAACAGAAGTTGATGTGACGCATGCAATTGATGGGATTGAACAAAACTGATCTGTTTTACTTAACTAAATATATGGTTACTTAAGTGAAGCATTTGGATGATAAATCAGATAAAGTAAATATTGTTCCCTTATTGTCTTAATTTACTTTCAAGAATAAAACATAAACTTAGGTATCGACTCATATGCATGCAATGGAAAAAGAGTGTTCACGACAAAAGTGATAAAATGCTTCATATGCCCAATACTTATTAACTTCCCAAACTTACGAGAATCGAAATGTCTAATGAAACCGCATTACAAATTGCGATAAAGAAAATGCTTAAATTTACATTTTTTGAGTCGTTTTCTTCAATGTTTAATACTCAAAAATATTAAAACTCAAGTAGTTGCTATCCTTCTATAGCTCTTCGTTTTTAGTATATACCCTCTGAAGCTCAATGTGATTCTATCATTGTTTTTTTTGTTTTGTCATTTATAAATACTGTTATGAATAAGAAAAAAAGAGAATGAATTGTATTGTGTTATTCCATGAATAATACAGAGTATATATAGGATTATAATGACTTGGAGAACAAGTAGAACTTGGAGAGCAAGCAACTCTAGAA